GGAGATGGGTGCTCTCTGTGTTCACCTGGATCCCGGAAGGAAGCCCAGAGCTGTAGGTAGGTGTGGGGGAGGGCAGTGAGGAAGAGAGAGAAAGAGGAGTATGAAGAAGAGGAGTAGGAGGAAGAGGGAGATGGTAAACTGAGAGGGAAGGAGGGAAAGAGAGATTGAGAGAGGGAGACAGCCTTTGAGGACTTGGAGGGATACCTGGTTGAGGCTTTAAGGAGAGGGAGGACCTTGAAATATGGATCATTATCCTTCCTGTAGTCCCTTTTGTACTTAAAGGCTAGTGAAGAGAGAGGAAATTTGATTTCAGTTTCCACCTGCCATATGGTAGGCACACAATAACCAGGTCTATTGAACCAGATAGCTACCGATGTAATGTACGCACATAAAATTAGGATAACGTTCACTGTAGTCCTCCAATTAACATCCCAGTTCCACTCTCCAGGTACTGGCAAAACCACACCTGAATTAGGGGGAAACCTTAGTCCTAAGCATGGCCATTTCTTCATATTCTATCATCATCCAGTTTTACTTCATGACTGGTACCACACGGGCACTTTGTTGATGCTGCTTGGGCATCTCTATGGGGCATGCAGGACTGGTTCCACTAGTCTTGGGAGAATAAGTTCCCTCTCATCTTCCTGGGGGCTATCCTTCACTGGAAAAAGAAAGAAAGGAAGGAATAATAGGGAAGAAGAAACAGGGATTTGTTTCTTGTTTGTTGGTTACTCTTTTTCTTGGAACAATAGCAATATTTGGTTTCTGTGTTACAACAACTTGGTTTTCCTCCTTCCTCCCTGGCTGCTTTTTCATGGTCTGCCTTACAGGTGCCTCTCCTCTTTCCCAGGTAGATGTTGTGCCTCCCAGAGTTCTGTTCCTGGCCCTCTCCCTAGGTGAGCTAACCTACCCCTGGGTGACCTGAGGAGGCTTTGATGATCACTTAGGACCCCAGATTCCCCTCTCTACCCATCCCTTTCTCTTCAGCTCCAGACTTATACAGCCACCCACTTCCAGAACACCTCAAACTTTCTGTCTCCATCCAGAATTCATCTCTTCTCCTCCAGCCCCATGTCCTGATTTTCATCTTCTCAGTGATTGCAGTAACTTTCCTCCTCAGCTCCCCAGCATCTCACCCCTCTCTCAGTCTGCCAACCTAGCATGCTAGCACTGGCCTCAGGGCCTAGCATGGAGTGTGGAATATAGTAGATGCTCAGTAAATATTGTGTACCTGCCTACATGAATAAGTTAAAGAATCGAACATGTGGAAATAAATGAAGACCAACCAAAGGAAACAAACAAAGCTTATCTATTTAGAGTATAACAAGGGAGTTGGCCACCATCATTTTCTTTTTGGCAGACTCAAGGCAGGCAGGGGAGTGGAAAAGTTTCATAGTAGAAAGAAGGAAGACGTCAGGTGTGCCCTGACGGAAGCTTTTGGCATGGGGAAGCTGTAGGCTGGCTAACTAGAAGGGGGGTAACCCACTTGATTTGTTGAGGGGTGCACAGCTGGCTCTCTATGGTTGGTCCTAAGTTGGAATCATGGACAAAAACTAGGGAAGCTGTTAGATATTAATCAACTCCTGCCCATTTGAGGTCAACTGTTACAGGGGTTATTGTTTGGCTTCCTGGACTGGTTACTAGAGCTAGCTAACTGACCTTCTGCAAGTCTGACTTACAGAGAGCAGGCTGGCTTTCTGGGTTGATTACTGTAGACACTGGGTTGGTTTCCTGGGCTGCTTGCTATGGACTGTCGGTCAGAGTTTTATCCTTATATATGGTCTGGCCACTGCCCATTTGTATGTTCAGTCTCATATTAATATTTATTAGCATCTAAGGTACATCTTCCTTTGTTTTGTATTGATTATGTGGTGCCTCATATACTTTTCACCATACCTCTGTGGGGTAGGTATTACCATTTCTGCTTAACCCTGATCACTTCAAAGCTCATGCCGTTTACATCTTCTGTCTTCTGGCTCTCCTTGATGCCTTCGGTTGTCCCTCCTACCCCACTCTCCACCTGAACTCACTAAGGACAGGGTTGTGGGGGTGCTCTTCCAGCCCAAGGTTGCCATCTTCCCAGACATGTCATTATCCTTGCCTAGCTCCTTCCACAACACTAGATTCCCAGTTCTGGATTACTTCATCTCCAGTGACCTTCACCTCCAAACCTCTTTAGTCACCCATGCCTTAACCATCAAGCACATCAGTCCTCATCACCAGGGTAGGCCTCTTCTCTGATGGACAAATGCTATCATCCATTCTGTGGTTGAAGGATGTCCCACCCCATGGTTTTCCCATGAAGTAACCCATTCTGGGAAAGGGCATTATGGTAGATTTCAAAATACTTTAAAGTAGTCTTTGGTGTTTTCTAAGATGTTTAGAATGCATAACATGAATAATACCCCCAAAACTCGCTAAATATTTTTTTAGTCTTTAAAAATGTATCACCTACCTGCCCACCCATCACTCTATCTCTGTTCTAGAGGGGACAGGGAAGGAAAGAAGTCCATATAACATTATATAGTCACACTCACAATGCAATCAGGACCTATAATGATGAAGTTCCTTTAAAATAAAGTTACCTCTTAAAAATTAACCTCACTAATGATTAATTTGTAAGGTTTCCAAAGATCATGACAAACTCAGTTGACAATCGTTTTTGAGTGGCCATGTTCCAATATGTGGAGTATGGTGGTTGATTTTATGCCTTTGTTAGGCTAGGCTGTGGTACCCTGTTGCTTGGTCAAACACCAGACTAAATGTTGCTATGAAGGTATGTTTTTTGATGTGCTTAACACTTAGATCAGTAGACTTTGATGAAGCAGATTATCCTCCAGAATACGAGGGGGCCTCATCCAATCAGATAAAGGCTTAAAAGAAAAGACTGAGGTGCCTTGAGGAAGAAGGAATTCTGCCTCCAAGCTGCCTTTAGACTCAAGGTGGCAGCATCAGCTCTTCTCTGGGTCTCTGGCCTATGGGCCTGCCCTCACAGTCTCATGAGCCAGTTCCTTAAAATTTCTGTGTTCAAAGCCTATGGGATCTGTTTTTCTACATGCAAGTGACATAAACTCCTTGGCATAGCACAAATGAAGATCAACAGGACCCACCTCTGTAAATTGCTTCCTCTCCACCCCCAGCCATTAGCCTTCTGCACCTCTAACTCCTCCTTATTAAATCAGGCTCAGCATCTGATGCCACTCATTTGCGGTTGTTGACTAAGATTATCCTTTAGTAGGTGGTTTTCCTCCAGTGTGCAATGTCATTAGCATTTTAAGCTTCTTGTTTCCAAGTTGAGGAAGTCTTACACTATCCTTGAATAAAGAGGGTTCCACTAACAGAGGAAGAGAAGTGCTTATCACAAGGCTTCCTGAAAGTAAACCTGTCTTAAGCCTTGGGGGCAGACACATGACAGATTTTGTGGAATCTTAAGTTTATACAATGTGAAGTCTCCAGTTAGAAAAAAGAACACAGAAATACTTACTTTTGCAATTTTCGGTGATATGTGATCCTATGAATGCCTTGGGATGGCCCCTCGCAGGGCTTTGGAGGGAAGATGTAAAGAGAGGGGCTCTGAAGCTGAAGTTGTATTAGCTGCAGGGTAAACCTGGCTCCACTTCTGGGCTTTTAAGGGCAGGGACAGAAAGAAGGGAGTGCCTTCTCCTTAGCTGGGTTGCTGGCATGGTTCCAGCTGCTGGAGAAAGATACATTTCTCCTCTTCCCGATCCAGAGCATCCCTTCCCGCCAAGCCCTGCCAGTGTGAGTTGCCAGATCCTTGTCCCATTTCCATCCCTTCCTTTGCTCCCCTTCTCTCTCCTAACCCCTTGTCTCAGAGTCTTCAGGGCTTATTTGCACAGTGTTTCTTTAGGGAATGTGCAGGGATATTTTAGATGACAATGTGTAACCTGTCTTGTGTTCCACCCTGCAAATGTAAATGCAAATGTAAGTGCCTCTCAATATTTTCTGAAGCTTGTCTGTCTCTGTGAAGAGCAATTCTGACTGCAGGAAAAGGGGCACGACTGCAGCTGCTTCATGAGTGGGTTCTTTCCTCTGTGGCACTTTCCCACATTGTGGACAGCAGACAGCATCTCCTCCCTTCTTCCTGCCTCTTCAGACTTCCAAATGCTGAGTGTATCCCCCCCACAGAAGCAGACTCATGCTACTCCAAGCAGTGGCTCTCTGATTGTGCCCAGGGATACGTAGTTTTCGATTCTTTCCTTTTCATGTTTTTCACTGAGCATATGATTTACTAGCACCTCCTCTGCTCATTCTGGGAGAAGCTCAATGACTAGATGAATTTTCTGCAGACTCCAGGGGGCTGTCATGCTCAGGGTCCCTCTCAGCTCTGAGTTCCTGCACCTTCAGAACCACTGGGCTCATCTGCACCCCATGTCTCATGGCAGCTCCTTCCCTTCTGCTCCCACCAACTGCAATCAGGGCTCTTTCATTGATCTTGCCCAAGAATCACTCACACAAGACTTATGTGTATCATAGACTTTACTGAACAAGGAGGAACACTGGAGTTGTTTTATATCACAGCAGAAAACAAACAAGCATAATTATATAAGTACGATTCTCATTTACTTACAACCACTTTTGGGAATTTCTCTCTTGCCTCCTTTCTCCCCAGACATAATTCTCTGCTAAATTATCTGCTACTTCTTTCCCCTCCTGCCTTACTCCCTCTGAAGCAAAAGTAGCTTCATTCAGTTTAGATTAAAAAACAACAACAAAACAAGTTCTTAATCCTGCTACACTTAGTGTAAACAAAGAACAGGGAGTAATAAAGAAAACTGAAGCCCTCACCTTTATGCAAAACTGGATCCCCTCTTTCACACACACACTGTGTGAAGCACTTCAGCTGCAGACACACACACACACACACACACACGCACGCACGCATGCACGCATGCATGCATGCACACAGCCAGCCTTGCGTCAGATGGACAGAACCCTCTTCAGGTCCCCAGTGATACTCCATTTCCCTCTGTTTTCTCATTTCATTTTCTTCTCTTGGATCCCCAAAGCTGTCAGAGAAAAGCACTGCTTCTTCCACTTCATGTAAGTAAATGGCAAGGAACCATCGTGAATAGGAAAGAGACAGGTTAGAGATAGGAATGTGACAGGAAAGAGACAGACCTGGAGAGATCCAGTTGGTGGCAAAATTGCTGCTAGGAGCCTGATGGTTTATTTAGGAACAAGGAAGATGATTACTGTGATGGAAATCCACATTGCAGGCCCCATGCTGTGCACTCAATGGGCAACCTCAAAACTTTCATTACAAAAGGTGAAAACAAACACAGATTCTAAACCTAGACACCCTCATGCAGCAGCTCAGCCCCTGCCCTGAGTTTCTCCAGCTCTTCACTGTTGTAGCCTGAGGGGCATGGCTGGTACTTGGCACCTGAGGCGTTTGTCCCTGAAGAACAGCGATGATGCCATAGGCTGCAGATGCCATAGACAGCAGCCAGCACAGCTGCCCCTAAAACCAGGTGCCAGCAGAAGAAGATGGTGAGGAAGGCGAGGTCCACATGATTTTCTGATCTCCAGGGCTTCCCAGAGGGAGGAACATACAGCACCAAGCAGATCTGCAGCAGCCAGGTGCTGAACACCAGCCCCATCCAGGACTTGAGGAACCAGAGTGGGGGCTGGTCAGGGACCCACACCTCGATGATGAGCACCAGGCCAACCAGGAAGGCAGGGATTATGAAGAAGATGTGCACACGGATTTCCAGAGCGTCCTTGTTCTCAATGTGGGATGCCATCAGCAGTGCCAGTGTACAGCAGGCCAGGGCTTCAGCTGCTCGCTCCAGCTTCATGCTCTGCCGTGCCTGGCATGCCTGGCTCACAATGTCCACCACGCCACTGAGCAGAAAGAATGTGTACATGGTGACATGCTGCCAGCTATTTGGGAACAAGAATGGTCGCTGAGGGTCCTCCCAGTCTATTATCTTCAGCCGGTTGACTCCTGGGGGGTAGTAGAAGTCACCCATAATGCCAATGAAGCTTAGGACAACCTTCGCCACTCCTTCCCCAGGTACCCACTTCCACCACCTGTGTCCTCTCTTCTCCCTTGGGGGTACAGGGGGCTTGAAAAACTTCTGTCCCCGTAGCAAGGCCAAGGACGCCAGCAGTGAGTAGTAGAGTGAGTAGAGGAGGAAGATCACCCCTGGCAGCAGGTGTCCCTCGAGGTTTCCCATTGTCTCCGTGTATGTGTCCTGGCCAGCAGCGCAAGAGCTGGAAGATGAGCAGCAACCTCACAGGGCCCTCCTCACAAGCAAGAGTGACTGCTTCTGAGCAGTGGAGAGATCTTCCTGACCCAGCCCCACCCCAGCCTCCCACACTTGGAATAGTGTGCCTCCCTGTGCTGGGAGTACCTGAGTCCTTCCCAGGGTGGGTACCTCACTCTGTCTCTCACTTGGGCCACGCCTGGAATTGCCACCTCTGCTCCTCACAGCTGCACTGGGTGCACTGCACCCTTTATCTTGCCACCCTTCCACCACAGCCCACATCAAAGAGTGGTAGGGGAAAGGTTAAGGTACTCCAGCAAAGAAGGGTGGTGGCTGACTCTCTTCTATGACTGTGTGTACGTGCCAGGCACATTGCATATTTTTTCTCATTTAAATCCCTTAATAACGCAATGAGGGAATTACTGTTAAGCAAATTTTATGGGTGACATCGAGACTCAGAGGGGTGAAGGGTACCACAAGTAACACATCTAGCAGCCAGCATGGCAGACCCAGGCCTATTCATCTGTTTACAAAGTCCAGAGTTTGTGCACAGCAGTGACTGAAGCTCAGCTCCAACATTGCAAGTTTCATGATTATAGGCAAGTTATTTTGTCCTCTTCAGCCTCAATTTCCTGATCTGTAGAATGGGAACTACACTTACTTCATAGGTTTGTTGTGAAGATTAAATAGAATAATGTGTGTAGAGTGTCTGATACATAGGAACTACTCAATAAATGGTAGTGACTATTAATAACTTTACTACTGTTATTACTAACATTCTTTGCTAAATTCTGATGATGCTGCAATTGTACAAGTGTTTCTATGAATGATACCAAAGCAGGATCAGAGAGAAAGTAAAAAACATAATTATATTAAAAGTTAAAAGTTTGTTATTAATATAAATTAAAGAAGACAATAATTTATTTATATATTGAATTACTGTTAACAAATTTCAAAGTAAAAACAAACTATAAAATTTTACATATATAATATATAAACAAAATGTTTATATATATACCTTTCAGCTGCTGCAGATCTGCATGGAGTCCATAATAACAAAATTTTAGTCTCCTTACAAGGTAAAGAGCTCTTAGAAATAAAAAAGTTAAAACACCTCCGTAGGAAAATGGGCAATGATATGAAGTGGTTATTCAAAACAGTAAATGCTGAACAAACCTATGAAATTCAAGATAGTAAATCTCACTGGTATGTGAATGAATAATAATAAAATCTTCATGATACCTGCTATGAGTTGAAAGTTTGTCTGCCCCAATATTCATATGCTGATGTTCTAATTTGCACTGTGATGGTGTTTGGAGGTGAGTCCATGGGAGATGATTACGTTTAGATGGGGTCATGAAAGTAGGACCTTCATGATGGGATTAGTGCCCTTGTAAAAAGAGGAAGTGAGAAAGATGTTTCAGAAGAATGTGTATTCTGTGGTTCTTGGGTAGAGTGTTTTTTTTTGTTTGTTTTGTTTTTTACTTGCTATGTTCTTTATTTTTATTCACTTGATCTGCTAATTTCTGAAAGAACCGTAAGTTTTCAGAATGTTTGTGGATTTACCATTTTCTTTTTTTTATATATTTTATTGATTATGCTATTACAGTTGTCCCATTTCCCCCTTCACTCCTCTCCACCCTGTACCCCCTCTCCCACCCACTTTCCCACCCTTTAGTTCATGTCCATGTGTCATACTTGTGAGTTCTTTAGCTTCTACATTTCCCGTACTATTCTTGCCCTCCCCCTATCTATTTTCAACCTACATTCTATGCTACTTATTCTCTATACCTTTCCCCCCTCTCCTCCTCCCACCCACCCCCCTACTGCTACCCCTCCATGTGCCCCCCATTTCTGTGGTTCTGTTCCTGTTCTAGTTGTTTACTTAGTTTCTTTTGGTTTTGCTTTAGGTGTGGTTGTTAATAGTTGTGAGTTTGCTGTCCTTTTACTATACATGTTTTTTTTCTTTATCTTCTTTTCTTAGATAAGTCCCTTTAGCATTTCATAAAATAAGGGCTTGGTGATGATGAACTCCTTTAATTTGACCTTATCTGAAAAGCACTTTATCTGCCCTTCCATTCTAAATGAGAGCTTTGCTGGATAGAGCAATCTGGGATACAGGTCCTTGTCTTTCATGACTTGGAATATTTCTTTCCAGCCCCTTCTTGCCTGTAAGGTCTCTTTGGAGAAATCAGCTGACAGTCTGATGGGAACTCCTTTGTAGGTTACTGTCCCCTTATCTCTTGCTGCTTCTAGGATTCTCTCCTTCGTTTTTACCTTGGCTAATGTAATTATGATGTGCCTTGGTGTGTTTCTTCTTGGGTCTAACTTCTTTGGGGCTCTCTGAGCTTCTTGGATTTCTTGGAAGACTGTTCCCTTTGCCAGTTTGGGGAAGTTCTCCTTTATTATTTGTTCAAATAACTTTTCCACTTGTTGCTCCTCCCCTTCTGGTACCCCTATAATTCGGATGTTGGAACGTTTAAAGGTGTCCTTGATGCTCTTAAGCTTTTCTTTGATTTTTTGAATTCTTATTTCATCATGCTTTCCTGCTTGGTTGATTCTATCTTCCTTCTGGTCCACTGTATTGTTTTGAGACTCAGATTCCTTCCTTTCACTATTGGCTCTCCTCCGCGTATCTTCCTGCATCTCTTTTATGGTAACCTGCATCCTTTCATCTAAATTGCGCACAAAGTCCGTGAGCTTTCTGATCACCAGTGTTTTGAACTGTGCATATGATAGATTGGCTATTTCTTGGTCGCTCAAAAGGATGAATCCTGGGGGACTGATCTGTTCTGCTGGAAACATATTTTATGTCTTTCCCTGTCTCTCCTATTATTTTTTTTTCCCCGGTCTGGTTGCTCTTGTCATGGTGGGGGACGGAGCCTTAGGTGTTCACCGGGGCTGGGCACCCCAGTCGCTAGGTTGTGATGTTATATGTGGGGGCGGGGGCGGGAGTGGGACAGGCAGGAACAATGGCGACAGTTCTGTTCTCCTGGGCTCAGACCCTTCCCTGGGCTCCTGAGCTGCAAGCTCTGCCCTGGTCCACAATCGCTGCCCCACTGATTCCCCCAGCCGCTGCTTGCATACTCAGGGATCACCACTGCGTTCTTGCACCCCAGATGGCTGTCGCGACAATTTTGCGCCAAATTTCTCCCGACCTCCGCGCGCCGCCAACCCGCGCCAGCCCTGCGCCCGCCCGGATCGTCTTCTCCTACTGGTCTGGATGTACGGATCTACTTCAACTTCTTGGCTGTCTGACTTCCATTAAGATAAATCCTCTGACAGTTCTGAGTGATATTATGACTGTAAATTATTGTTGTTCTATTCTTGGTTGTGCGAGGAGGTACGGTGCGTCCACCTATTCCTCCATCTTGCCGGAAGTCCCGGGTAAAGTGTTTATACACACACACACAGACACACACACACACTAATATGATTGGTTTGTTGTGTTGTTCAAGTCTTCTGTTTCTTTACTTACCTTCTGTCTGGTGGTTCTCTCTGTGTGCATCCACCAAGGAAAGGCCATGTGAGCACACAGCGAGAAGGTGGCCGTCTGAAAGCCAGGAAGAAGGTCCTCATCAGAACCCAACCATGTTGGCACCCTGATCTCAGACCCCTGGCCTGTAAAATATCTTCCCAACCTATGAATATGTGTAGTTTAAATTACCTGGGCTGTGGCATTTTGTTAGAGCAGACCAAGCTGACTAGGACAGAATTTGATACTGTGAGGTGGGGTGCTGTTGAAAGAAATCATTGTATTTTGCCATGTATAATATGTACTTTTTGCCCAAATTTTTGAGGAAAACATAGGGATAGTCATTATACATGGGAATTAGTACTAAAATGTGGGTGTGCATTATTCATGGCAAAGTGAAGTTCCTAAAATGTGGCAGCAGCTTTGGAACTGGGTAACAGGTATAGGTGGGAAGAGTTAAGTTCATACTATAAAAAGTCAAGATTGCCATGAAAGAACAGTTGAAGGTGACCCAGGGGAGGGCTCCAAAAGAAAAGAGAGCTATAGAGAAAGCTTCCATCTTCTTAGAGAATATATAAATAGTCATGAACAGAAAGTTGGTGGAAATAGGACTATAAAGGCTATTCTGGTGTAATCTCTGATGGGAATGTAGAACATGTTATTAAACAATGGAGAAAAGGTAATTTCTTATTACCAAGTGGCAAAGAGCTTGGCTGAGCTGTGATCATATGCTGGTGTTTTTGGGAGGTAGAACTTGTAAGAGAGGAAATTACAAGTTTAGTTGAGAAGATTTCTAAGTGAAGTGTTGAAGGAGAGGCGTGGTGCCTCCTGACTGCATACATATTAGTAAAATGCAAAAAGAGGAAAATGAGTTGAGGAAGCAATTGTGAAGCAAAAAAGAACCAGAACTTAAAGATTTGGAAAATTCTCAGTGTGTCCATATTGGAAAAAATGAGAAAGCTTGTTCTGAGGAGTACCCTAAGGGTGTGACTCAACAGCCCTTTGGTAACGAGACTGTGTATGCATGAGCCTCAGATCTACTCAACAACCTCATCAGAAACACTGCCAGTTTGAACTGAAAGGGATGTACCCGAGACTAAAGGGAGGGAGGCCATTGGACTTCTCAGATCCTGTGGGACTGGACCATAGAGCTGTTTGGCTGTGAATGTGTGCTATTCTTTAAGACAAGGGAAGAATTGTCCTGAAGGCAATTCAGAGATCATCAGGCCTAGTTTCAACAGGCCAGACAGTAGCCACCTGGAGACTTGGGGGTGGGGCCACCCAGAACTGTGGTCTGGCAACCCACCCAGCAGAACTACAGGAGTGGGATTGCCACCCCAGTGGTTCATAACCCAGTGGAGCAGAGAGCAGACCATTAAACCATAAGATCTAATGATATTTGTCTTGCCATATTTTAAACTTCCTTGGAACGATCATCTTTTCTTCCAATTTCCCCCTTTTGGAATGAGAATGGTTACCCATGCCTGTCCCATGGCTGTATTTTGAAGGACATAACTTTTCTGGTTTCACAGGTTCACAGCTAGAGAGGAGTTTTGCCTTAGGGTGACTCATTTTGTTTTTCACCCGTATCTGAT